AACAGTTCAATCACTATAAACATCTCTTAGATACAATACGTCGTGGTTGAAATCTTGAAAGATTCAAAATGCTTAGTAAAGCAGTTGAAATTCAGTCTTCTGAAGCCGGTAGCTATCAGGCGCTTGAGATAGTAGTTGTTAATCTTTCGTTACTTTGAGGGATGAATATTATTCCTTCATAGATTTTATTCAACTCTTTCTTTCAATCAATTACATAATTGATTTTTATTTCAAACGTCTTCTAAACTAGTAAGTGAGTTTTATTTATTTTAAATTGTACTTATTACCAGAGTTTATTCATTAAACAACCACTTTTGTAACTGGCCCTTTAGATTTTGGTTATTATCAATAGTGTAGAATGTTCTTCCGTATAAAGCATACATTTGTCCAGTCATTAACACTCTTGCTAATGTATGATTACAGCGACTTTGAACTACAATCCTTCGTGAGAGTAATGTAAATATCCAATCTATAGTTATGACTTTGTTGTAACGCTAGCTTAAATAATTCCCAGCTAATTCCTATTTCAACTCCGCCAGTAGAACCTTCGGGGCTACTGCCGGTCCCAAGCCCGGGTAAAGGAGGAGGGTTGGACATGGGGTTGGCGACCCCATTCCGTTGAAATCTCACTTGCCAAAAAACGCTAACCAGAAAAAATAATCCAAACCATTTTAACTCTGCCCTGGGAGTTGGAGGAAGAATTATGACGTCTCGTGATGAAAGCCGAGTTCCCTCGGAAGTCACGGGGCCGATGCCTCTTCTGACAACCAGAGCAACCATTCTTTTAGGTACATGGAACGTTCGTACATTGTGGGAGACTGGAAGACTATTTCAAGTTGCGGCAGAAATGAAAAGATACAATCTGGAGGTGCTCAGCATCAGTGAAACGCATTGGACACAGGTAGGACAACTGAAACTAGCTTCAGGGGAACTGTTGTTATACTCTGGTCATGAAGAGGAAAACGCTTCACATACACAAGGAGTTGCACTGATGCTGTCCAAACATGCACAAAAGGCACTAATAGGATGGGAATCTCATGGACCCAGGATCATTAAAGCATCCTTCAAAACAAAGAAAGAGGAGATTACAATGAACGTCATCCAATGTTACGCACCTACCAATGACTACAATGACGACGTTAAAGATCAATTCTACGAAAGGCTGCAGTCAATCGTCGAGAAATGTTCATCAAAGGATTTAACGATTCTTATGGGAGACCTGAATGCCAAGGTTGGAATGGACAACACTGGATATGAAGACATGATGGGACGACATGGACTGGGAGAAAGAAACGAAAACGGTGAGAGATTTGCAAACCTATGTGCCTTCAACAAACTGGTCATCGGTGGCACAATATTCCCGCACAAACGCATACACAAAGCCACATGGATTTCACCGGACCACACTACTCAGATTGATCATATCCGTATCAACAAAACGTTCAGAAGGACCATGGAGGATGTGAGAACCAGGAGAGGAGCTGATGTAGCCTCAGATCACCATTTGCTGGTCGCCAAAATCAAACTCAAACTAAAGAAGCACTGGACAACGGGGCAGACAACATCACAGAAGTTTAATACGACCTTTCTTCGGGATACTGTAAAGCTCAACGAATTCAGGATAGACCTCACCAATAGGTTCCAGGCCTTCAACGATCTACTCAATGGAGAGGAAGCAACATTGGAGAACAATTGGAAAGGGATCAAGGAGGCAATCATTTCAACATGTCAGGAGGTTCTGGGTCACATGAAACACAATCACAAGGATTGGATCTCTGTTGGTACTCTTGCAAAAATTGAAGAAAGGAGGAACAAAAAGGCTGTAATCAACGTCAGCCGAGCAAGAGCAGAGAAAGTTGCCACACAAGCTGCATACACAGAAGCAAGCAGGGAAGTGAAGAAGAGCATCAGAGCTGACAAACGAAAATATGTGTAAGATCTAGCAATGACGGCGGAAAAGGCTGCAAAAGAAGGAAACTTGAGACAATTGTATGAAACAACAAAGAAGCTGGCCGGTAACTATCGTAAACCAGAACGACCAGTGAAAAGCAAGGAAGGGAAAGTAATCAGTAACACTGAAGAACAGCGAGATAGGTGGGTAGAGCACTTTCAAGAACTCTTGAATCGACCAGCTCCACTGAAACCACCCAAAATCGACGCAGCATTCACGAACCTCCCAATTAACATTGGCGCAATTGAGGAGAACAGTATGGCCATCAGACAAATCAAGAGCGGCAAAGCAGCAGGACCAGACAACATTCCAGCAGAGGCAATGAGAGCAGATGTAGAAGCAACTGCGAAAATATTTCACATCCTCTTCAAGAAGATTTGGGATGAGGAACAAGTACCATCAGATTGGAAAGAAGGATACCTCATCAAAATACCAAAGAAAGGCGATCTCAGCAAGTGTGAGAACTACAGAGGCATCACTCTTCTTTCAATAACAGGCAAAGTCGTCAACAGGGTATTGTTAAACAGAATGAAGGACTTCGTAGACGCCCAACTTCGAGATCAACAGGCCGGATTTCGTAAGGATCGATCGTGTACTGACCAAATTGCTACATTACGGATCATTGTGGAACAATCAATTCAATGGAACTCACCACTCTACATCAACTTCATCGACTACGAGAAAGCATTTGATAGCGTGGATAGGAAAACACTGTGGAGGCTTCTTCGACACTACGGTGTGCCTGAGAAGATAGTTAATATCATACGGAATTCTTATGATGGATTCAACTGCAAAATCGTGCACGGAGGACAGCTAACAGACTCTTTCGAGGTGAAGACCGGTGTCAGGCAAGGTTGCTTACTCTCACCCTTTCTCTTTCTCCTGGTGATCGACTGGATTATGAAAACGTCAACATCTGGAGGGAAGCACGGTATCAACTGGACAGTTAGGACGCAGCTTTAGGATCTGGACTTCGCAGATGACTTGGCTCTTCTATCGCACACGCAACAACAAATGCAAGAGAAGACGACCAGTGTAGCAGCAGCCTCTGCAGCAGTAGGTCTCAACATACATAAAGGAAAAAGCAAAATTCTCCGATGCAACACAACATGCACCAATCAAATCACGCTTGATGGAGATGCCTTGGAGGACATTAACACCTTTACATATCTGGGCAGCATCATCGACAATCAAGGTGGATCCGATGCAGATGTGAGGGCACGGAATGGCAAAGCAAGGGCTGCATTTCTACAGTTGAAAAATATCTGGAACTCCAAACAACTTTCAACCAAAACCAAAATCAGGATTTTCAATACAAATGTCAAGACAGTTCTACTGTATGGAGCAGAAACATGGAGAACTACCAAAGCCATCATTCACAAGATACAAGTGTTTATTAACAGCTGTCTACGCAAAATACTTCGGATTCGTCGGCCAGACACAATCAGCAACAACGAACTGTGGGAGAGAACAAACCAGATTCCAGTGGATGAGGAAATCAGGAAGAAACGGTGGAAGTGGATAGGACACACATTACGAAAAGCACCTAACTGTGTCACGAGACAAGCCCTCACATGGAACTCTCAAGGCAAAAGGAAAAGAGGAAGGCCGAAGACTACATTACGCCGAGAAATAGAGAAGGATATGAGAGGAATGAACAAACATTGGACAGAACTGGAGAAGGAAGCCCAGGACAGAGTTGGTTGGAGAAAACTGGTGGGCGGCCTATGCTCCATTGGGGGTAACAGGAGTAAGTAAGTAAGTAAGTAATTCCTATTTCATTAGTATTCTCTGACCACATTACACTGGACAAGTTCCAAAGAATCAAAAACATGGTGGAACAGGAAAAGATTATACTCCAAATAGCAAGGTCAAATGGAAAATAAGAAGTCGAAGGCAAAGCTAGATACAACGTTAGTTTCGTTATAGTATTTACATGAGAAGCATCTGGATAGTAATTCACGTGATCGACTGGATAAGATTTAGCCCATCAGCTAACAACACGAAAATTTTCAACCCTGTTCTCCAAGAATCGATCAAGCGCTGACTGGATAGGAAATTAGCCAATCAGCGCGCAGCAACATAGTCATGCTTTAATTCCATCTCTGTCCCACTAACAGGCTTGAAATATTACAGGCAGCTGATGAGAACTGAATTACACGAAATAAGAAGTGAATTCATTTTATTCTGCACAAATCTTTGTTCTTTTTCTCTTCTAAAAGTATGATTTGTTTTATTTAAATATGCTGTATGGTCAGTTATTTCAAGTTAGAGGTTGAATTGAGTACAAGAAAGCATACGGGCTTGCTTCCTATCATCAATTTGTAGTTGACTAATGAGTTAGAAAAGCACTCGAAGACCAATTGGGCATCAAGATCTCGGTTGTTGTTTATTAGTTAATATACCGATTGATATATATGTCACTGGTTCTACTGTTGGTATAGTTGGTGTAATCCCATATTCTCAAGAAATATGGAGAGAGACTTAATACTAACTACTATTATAGTGATAATATTTTCTAACTGTTGGTGAGGTCAAATCCCCAAAAACTCGCTTGGAAAAGGTCCTGATCTTGCGATTTTTTTTATGTTTTCGCGCATAAGTTGCTCAGTTGACCTTCAGCTTACGATTTCCCACTCAGAAAATACTTGGCTTTCATTGGTTGATGTATTTTATTTTAGTACGCTATTTTTGTGGCTCTCCCAAGGACGTTTTTCTATAATGTATAAATAAACTCGATTAGTGTGCTTTTGAACCTCATATTTTCTGAATGCTTGTAGAATACGCTACTTCCTCCATTTAGTGAGGCCTTGGGACCCACTCGGATTAGAGTAGCTTATTGTGTCACTAGGATCATTTGTATTAGCTCTCGTTTACCGACTAAATTGAACACGTAATAGTTTCAAGCATATCTTCTCACTTGACGAGCATATCACTAACGTGAAACATTTGCATGGAAGTAGAACACTAACATCACACGTTTTATGAAGACATTTACCTTTTCTACATGTACACACACACACACACATAAACAATAAGGAAGTAATGATGAGTAGAAAAGAAAGCGATTTTTTTCAACAACAAGAACAATTGTTGTATACAAAACTTGATTACTGAATTACTATGGTATGTTAAATAACAACTTTAGGTAGAAAAAATCTATATATATATATAATAACAGTATTTTATTAGATATTGATAACTTGACTGAGTTTTTGAATTCGATTAAGCAGAATGTCACCTTGTTTGATCATAGTCTAAAAAAGTATAAATAAATAAACAAGAATAGAGTGGAGTTGTTTAAGAGGAAATAAAGATGGTAATAATAAATATTTGTATTTATTTAGAATGCGTGATGATGATGATGATATTGACGGTTTATAGACGGTTTATGTATTGAGATTAGAGTCTTCACTATGAATATAAGAGTGAGTTTGGATTATAAGATTTATCCCTGACCGAAGCTGCTACCTTGACGTGGTGGTCGGGCTTGCCTATCGTGATGACCCAACCGAGCTATACTGGCTGGAACATATGTTCCTGCAGGTCCTACCATGACAGGCAGGTCGATTGGAGAACGATGAGACTAAAAGCAGCTACCCAAGATCTGAGGGCGAAGTCGTACTGCTGACTGCAGAGGGTGTGACAGCAGTAAGGTGTTTCCCTCGGACAACCAGCATCTGCAGCGATGCTGCATTCTCACAAGGAAGGAATGGTTAGAAAAGGTCGACCCTAAAAATGTCACACCTCCCCTAACTCACGGATTTCCATCTCCTTGGGTTAGGGTGCCCACTAAGGGCCTTTAAGAACGGAGCTAATCCTCTAAATACCTCTCATAAAAAGGCCGTGCGTGATCGGCCTCAAGCAGTTGTCCCTTGGGCTCTGCGGTCACGCACCAACACTAATCCATCTTCCTTTTCTGGTGCCTCAAGAAACAACCTTCCACGGTGTGGGCAGCCGGGAAGTGACAACCGCCCTCATACCCGTAACAGCACGCGAGACCAAATTGGTCAAAATCAAATAAGATTTAACACTGAACAGTGAATTCATAGTCATCATTGGATTCCGGTTTAGAGATCTAGAGGTTTGTAGCTTGCACGTGAGACCGAAGGTCCTAGATTTAATTTGAGGTGAGGTGTTATGGATGCTTACTATCGAGTTCTATATATGAGTGATGTAACAGCCATCCAGTGGAACCGGGTTTACAATAATTAGCTAATCAATCTCCACAAACCCCTATACTATCGCTCCATTTAATAATGGGTCTGTACCATGTGGGTAATTTCAAAGTATTGCGTTGATAGTGACGACTGATAGCAGCAATCAGTCAGTCAGTTATAAAGAAGAACTTCGTAAGTAAGTAGATCAGTACAGGTTGCCATACCAAATTAGCACTGAGACGCGACTGTCAATTCAAATCCCATAGTGGTAGAGATAGTAGAAGTACTACTGGTAATGGAGAAGATTAGGGTTCCAAGATATTATTGAAGAAGTATAATTCAGTGAGATAAGCTTAGACAGACAAAGGCAGAAGTGTTGACGAATCCAGAAGATTAGGATTTGAGAGAACAGAAAGAATGGATGTACCTGCGCCATTGCATGTCATTCAGAGTCTCTAACCACCGATTACTATCACCTCGCGGACCCCAATCAGTTAGTCTATATCTACCTCTTCCAGCCTACTCCTGCACCACAAAACACCACTCATCGACGCAGTCGGTGGTTAGGCATACATAACACATGTCCCAACCACCTCAACTGGTGAAGTTTCAATACTTCATCTATTGATTTGTCATCCCTAACTAGAACTCGTTTCCTAACAACACCATTGCTTATTCGGTTGTCCAACGATACACGAGTAATGCCTCGAAGACACCTATGATCGAAAACTAGTAACCTACGAATATCTTCTACTCTTACCGGCCATCTTTCGCATCCATATAATAGGACGGAGCGAACTGCTGCACAGTTCACTCAACCTTTGGTTAGCAAACGGATATCTCACCTACGTACGTCATAAGTGACGCAAGTTGGCAAAAGCCAATTGAGTGTTCTATATCCGAGCTGAGATTTCGTCAGTCATTAGGCCATCAGCATTGTTGATGAGACTTCCGAGATAAGTGAATCAATCGGTCAACATGCTCAACCACTTTACACCACCCTATCACTAGTTCAAGTGCTGACACAAGCCAATAAGTCATTTTTTATTTTCTTTACAAAGGTTAATATCATTATTTGCTGATTTCTTATTCTTTTAATGATGAAGTTATTAGCACGGAGTTTTTACGCTGGATGGTGTTTCCTCTGTGTCACGTGATATTAGACAATGGGTACATAGAACAATTAATAATTTTTAAAAAAAACATCATCGTATACATGGCTTTAGAGAGGTCTGGTTTTTCCGGTCGACATCACAACGAAAATAATAATAATAATAATAATAATGTTTATGTACCCAATTTTGAGAAACATATCCCCTTCCAATTAATCTAGTCCGTCTAGCCATCATCAGAGACAAGTGAATTTTATCGACAAAGTCGAAATGTCGCCACTGATTTAAATGATTCGATATTACTACAGTGGCATGTTGGATAGTTTAACCTAATAATATACTAGACTACTTAAAAAAAAGCAGATGTTTGATGTAGCTCATGATGTAGCTAACATGGTCTATGTAAATGAGATAATCAAATTGTTGGATTGAAAACAGATGATATATTCGGGGTTTTGAAACGATTATGGATCCTATATGATTAGAATTGCACGGTACTAAGATTTCACAAACTGAGTTGAAAAAGCAATGCAATAAAATTCTCTAGTTCACAGTATCAATTTGTTACAACTGTCAAAATATTTCGATAAAAATGTAATCGATTCTGTCCATAAATTTTTCAGCAAGTCTACCATTTTCAATGACTACAGAAAGAATCATGGTTTCAATTGTCCTGATTGACTAAGTCAGTTAGTCAGATGCAACGTAGAACTTCGTACGTAAGTACATCAGTTCATGTTGCCATACCACATCAGCACAGAGATGTAATTGTCAATTCAAATCCAATAGTAGAAGAAGTAGTAAAGGTACTAGAAGTAATCGGAGAGGTTAGGATTAGAAGATATTATTCAAGAAGTATGATTTAATGAGAAAAGTTTAGAAAGACAAAACTAGAGATGTTGAAGAACCCAGAAGATTAGGATTTGAGAGAACATAAAGAATAAATGCACCGGCGCCATTGCGAACGATTTTGAGCCATGTCATTAAGGGTTTCTAACCATCGATTAGTATCATCTCGCGGACCCAACCAGGTAGTCGACAATTACCGACATGACTCAGTCCACTTGTTAATGACTTCATGGATTGCTGAATGACTAGAGCAAGATACAACTAAGCATATTAGCGGATTGCTAACTGCCACGCCTCAAAGATTTAACATACAATGAATTGTAAGATTAAGAAATGAAAAACTAAGAGGATGTGGAACTGAAAAGTAGGTGGTAAACAGATAGATACATTCGTGTTATTCTAATAATATTTACAATAAAATCTCTTGATATTTGATTTGGGTCAATTCATTTACATTATAATTTGAGAGAAAAACGATACAGTTTATTTAGACTAACAAAAAGTTAAACAGAAGTTTGTTGTAATGAGGAGGATTTAAGAATAATTAATTACAATGTGATGGTCATTTTATCCATGTTAAATATATCCCAATCAAAAAATGAAAACGTTGTGTCAAGTGTGAAGTGGCTATCTACTAAGATGGTTGGCGAATAGTTGCGCAATGTCATGAGTTGATTGCAGTTTAAGGTATAAACCAATGGATGCCAACTTGGTGGCCTTCCGCAAAGCTTGAAGGTGTTGGATTTGACCCCCCCCACAACGCGAGATCGTGGACCGACATTGTTGAGGAGTTCGATAGTGAGACGAAACCGATTTTCCGCGCTTCCTGGTTTGCAACTGTTGGGAAGGCTAGTTTGAGATGTCAACTATTAATTCACTCAGCTGGCTAATAATTTTAACTTCTGATATCTATTCGATTGAAATAGACTGATCAACTTTCTGAAGAAATAATTGCTTTGCCTACTTGAGACAATCGACTAATTTTGTCAATCGATTAAAGCGATATAACAAAGTCATTATAAACATACTAGTCAATATAAGAATGGAAAAATTTACCTGATATTGGAAGTTCACATTATCAGGGCGTGTTGTTTCAATAATGCCTGAAACTTTATCCATTTTGCAAGCCAATCGACCACTAGCTATGAAACGTGATAATTCAGCATCTAAAAATGCTGGAGTTACACCAAATGATGCAGCCATACTATCCAAGCTTAAACTACTGTATGAATCCAAATGTTGACATAATGCATGAATACGCATTTCACGAACATAATAACTTGTGTGCAAATGTAAATAACGATCACAACTTATGAATTGTTCAACTCCAGCTGAAAGAAAATGGAATATAAGGTAGGCGATGATATATCGGACATAATTATCAAGTTATTAAATAAGTGATCACACTGTACAACCAATGAAACTCACTGACAGATTTTGCAAGTATTGTACAAAGGCTAGTTATGTACTGATACATTCAGCCCATATATATATATTCCTTTAATATGCTTAAAATTATTTTCGAAAAAAGATTATTCTTAAGGTTTTGAAGTTAGGAAACCCTTATTCACTGTCGATAATCGGTTAATATAACATTTACAGTACACAAACTTGCATACTTTGCGAATCTTAAGGTGTTTTATTCATTTAAAACAAACATGTACAAATACAGTTTGACTCCTAAATAAATATGTTACACATGAATAGGAAAATGAGATTGTGACTGGATAAATGAGTGAGTCTATAATGGGACGGTTAAGTTTCTAAAAGAATGGAACTAGAAAAAAGTATCTTCGTTTAAAGAAGTCCGTTTCATTTTTATGACGTAAAAGAAATTTACAACCGAACTATCATTAGCTCTCATTCTAATCTGTCTGATAACGTCTCAAACCACTGGATTGTACTATCTCTAAAACTCTAGCTAGGGAGTCATGATAAACAAACGTTATTGTCATTATTTGAACACACAAACATTGGTACAAAGGGACACCGAAAGTGTATGCACCACAGAAATAAAAGAAATTGTGTGTAGACGAGGACATTGCCCCGATGCCCAAACCGAAGACAGACAGATAAGTGCCGGTTTTCTACAATTTTCTTTTATACCATATCATTATATCATAAACTAACCACCTTGGCTCTTTTCATTCAATCCTAGCATCAGAAAATAATACATAATGTAGAAACCACTATAGTATGACATTTGAAACACATGCCCAACACCTATAAACGCTGATATTTCAAGATAGTGACATTGAGTTGCGTCACTTCACGCAGGCACAAATTAACGAACCTAAACATTATACACTTTTTACAGTCAGACTAACATCACAACACCACCAAAGATCATTCTGGTTTTCACGAAGTTTCCACAGTGGCATTGTAACTGAACTCTGTATTTAGTTACAGTATACGAAATAAAATGTTGACAACATTCCAAGGTATAATAAAAATTAGTTAACAATAAGAAGTAATACATGCTGCGTTATACTTAAAATAAATGCAAAATCTTTTGTCATGATAAAGGTTAGAGGTACTTTAAAAAAAAAACTATTAACACATTGAAGTGAACACTCCCTGAAACATCAAAAACGAATTCACCAATTTTCTAAAAATTTACTACAGAACACTTAGGTTTATAATTGTTTATACCCTACATAAATCGATTAAATAGAGTATTACAAATAACATAAACTAACTAACCAAGAGAAAGGAAGAAGTCAGCGTAACGACAATCAAATAACGACATAAGATATTCACGTACAGTCGGTAATCCATGCAAAACTTCTTGGATTTCTGATCCACGAACAACCTGAAAGTGAATATAATAAATAGACAAGTTAGCAAACTATAAGTATAACTCTAAGCATGTTACATTCATTTATCACTGAGCCAAAGCTTATGTCTGTGTACTTTTATGTCAAGCGAACAGGGTTTGTTTCAGCCTTTGGAAAATTGAATTAATCCATTTTACTCAAGTTATTCACACGTCTTCCGACCTTGTCAACTATTCGCTTTTATCTTGGTTGTTTTTATTCGAGTATATGGCGTCTACTTTGCTTATTTTGTCTGATTGTAAATACTTAGTCATGATTCATTGCATTGAATTGGCTCACTCGCCTTCTCTACTTTATTTCGCCTTGCTTGTAAGCTTTTCATTCTTATGTCTGTCTGCATGAATGAATGCATGAAATCCATAAAATCGTATCGGCTTCTTATTAAAACCGTGGTACAAACGGCGTTCGCCAAAGTATGACAAATAGAAATGATAGGGAAGATTTATTTCATAGCATATTCGATTGTTTAACCAAACTGGAATCAGATCGCGTGCCACTAAAAGCTTACTCTTCTGTGATTAATAAATTCTTTCGATGAAGTTGCAATGTGGTGACTTAAAATAACGAGGAAAATAGGGATGCGGTTTTCCCCGTCGAAATGCAAAATATTGCTTCAAGATTGGGTTTCAACGGCATCTGAACTAGTGATAGGGAGTGAAGTAGTCGAGCGTGTAGACCGCTTCACTTATCTTGGGAGTCTCATCAGTGCCGATGGCCTGGTGACTGACGAAACCTCAGCTCGGATAAAGAAGGCTCGATTGGCTGTTGCCAACCTGCGTCACTTATGGCGTAGGCGAGATATCCGTTTGCTGACTAAAGGACGAGTGTACTGCGCAGTGGTTCGCTCCGTCTTACTTTATGGCTGTGAAACATGGCCAATGAGAGTAGAAGATATTCGTAGGTTACTAGTTTTCGATCATAGGTGTCTTCGTAGCATTGCTCGTATATCGTGGGACACCCGAGTGAGCAACGCTGTTATTAGGAATCGGGTGCTAGGTAAGAATGGAAGATCAATAGATGAAGTATTGAAACTTCATCAGTTGAGGTGGTTGGGACATGTGTTGCGTATGCCTAACCACCGACTGCCTCGTCGAGCTTTGTTTTGTAGTGTAGGAATAGGTTGGAAGAAAGCTAGGGGCTGCCAGACCAAAACATGGCAGAAATCCATGAAGTCATTGACGAGTGGACTTAGCCATGTCGGTAATTGTCGACTACCTGGTTGGGGTCCGCGAGATGATAATAATCGATGGTTAGAAACCCTTAATGACATGGCTCAAAATCGTTCGCAATGGCGCTGGTGCATTTATTCTTTGTGTTCTCTGAAATCCTAATCTTCCGGATTCTTCAACATCTCTAGTTTCGACTCTCTAAACTTATCTCACTGAATCATACCTTTTGAATAATATCTTCTAATCCTAACCTCTCCGATTACTTCTAATACCTTTACTACCTCTACTACCATTGGACTTGAATTGACAATTACATCTCTGTGCTGATGTGGTATGGCGACATGAACTGATGTACTTACGTACGAAGTTCTACGCTGCATCTGACTGACTGACTGACGAGGACAATAGGCAGTCAGTAAGCAGGCCCGGATTTCAGATTTTTTGCGCGTACATTCAGAAGCCAACAATGAGACAAAAAAATCCATATTTAAAAACTGTAATAAAACACTAGTCAAAGAGAAGTAGGATAAAGTGAACAAGTATACAACAAATTTACCTTCTCTCGAAGATCCGGGCGTTTAAGCGCAATCATTGCAGACATAACTGTATAAATGATAAATGTTTTATAATCCATCAATTCATAACTTGTAAATGTAGCGACAGCATCAAGGAAATTTTTAGCAGCAGAATCGAAATCTCGAACTGACATACTGTATAAGCCACGGTATACTTTAAGTCTATTTCGTCTATCCCAATCGCCACCTTCTTCAATTAGGCTATCATTAAAATTATTAGAATTAGGCGAGAAAAAAATCATACCTATTTGCTTTTTCTATATTCTTTGTAATCAAATCTCTGTCACCAAAAAAGAATCCAATCCGAATAATATGGAAAATGGTGTCTAATCGAAAGCCTGGCATTAAAGTTTTATCTAAAATCAGTCGAAATTGTGACAGGGCACCTTCCTAGGTTACACACACACACACACATGATATTAGTTTGCTTGAATCGTTACCTTGTCACCGATTTTACTAAGATAATGAGCTTTTTCCATCATTGCGGTCCTGATTTCTGTATCACCTAGATTCTCTTCTGCATCTTTAATCTTTGCATCCAACTCCTTAGTCTTTGCTTCATTTACTGACTGCATGGATTTCAAGACTCGTTGATCGACTGGTAGATTAAGTTCTTTACACACGATTTCGTAATATGGAGCCATATCTCAAAATAAAACGCAATAATAAATAGTGAATGGTAGAAAAGGAAAAACTTATTAACAAAACTGGGAACTGACTGACTGGCTGTCAATAATATTTTTCACTGATAACTTTTTATTTGATGCATAATTATGTATAATAAAACCTTTAAAGAAAAATGGATCTATGGGTTCGTGTATCTACTAGTTCGACCAAAAAGAATAAAACGCGTAAGATCAGGAATTTAGAGATCCATAAACACAGGAAAGCAATATGAAGTAGACACAAACTACACTAAGCCAAGGCTTGCTACACAGACTGAATACGAATGAAGTTTGATTACAACAGATCTATGATCAAACTAAACAACCTACCTTTCAACTTAGTGTAAACTGCTCAATCTACTGACTTTATCTTGACATAACATAACAAGTGGAATGTTAATAGGATCGGTAAAAGAATATTGTCAGATACCGTAGCTAATAATATCAACATTTGGAAGAAATGGAACAATACGATATTAACAAATCTTTGCGACTGGTGCAATATGTAATATAGTGAGGTGAAACTACCTGTATGCTATGCGAGTAAGGACAGTTGTCAAATAGACAGATTACATAAAAACCTCTTTGGTATATCTTGACCAGTGCCAGGTAACTTATTAGGACTAGCGAGTTTAGACAATATTTTCTCAATTTATTTAATCAATCAGTAACTCGCAATTAATGTCGGGCCTGTCACGAGAGTGTATTAGCTGAAGTTATCATGCCATATTATTATGACATTAGGCTAAGGTAAATAGTAAAGTTCTTATAATCATAGTAGCAAAGATTGCAAGCAAATGTGAACATTGATAGTATGATTTAGGAAGGGGTGAAAAAGCACGAATGAATTAATAAAAAGCCTATAATTTATGATCGACCTTTGAGTGATACTAAACTGGTCTTGAGAAACTTTAACCCCTAGATAAGGTAGAAATGGGAGTTGTAAATTAGTGCGAAGGTTTAGGATAAGGTTTATGGAGAATTATGAAGAATGAACACCAACTATATTGTTATAATGCTAGTTAACCAGATAAACGGGATTCGGGCAAAAGCTGTCGATTGCTACCAGGCATCTAATAGGTTCGTTTACAGATTATAGTCATTTCAGGGATACTGAAACTCAAGGTCTGTAAGAGGACAAGGATTGAGAATATTTGCGCTACTCTGACCAATTTTAATTAGCGTCTTCACCTGCTTATCACTATTCCGCTCGGAATCCTGAGGCAACACTTACTTATCTTAACCACTCTGACAACGACTTTACAGCTAATGCCGTGTTTTGGTTCGGCCATCTTCAAGCTTATTTAAAACCTGCTTATATTCAAGCCGTTATTGTGGTGTAGAAACAACACATACGTGAATGGCTATTACACTATGGTCACAAAGGTGATTGCTCAGTTATCGACTGGATAACCAAATAGTCGATAAATTTGAGCGAGAAGAGCTTCCAGTCGGTCAAAATTTTAGCTATTTAAGAACCTGAAAATTAGCACTGAATAACAAGATAAACGCATGGATTACAGCACTTCAGACAAGATGCTTAAAAATATTCATAGAATTACGCGTACAGTTTAATCAAATCGCACTAATCTTTGATAAAAGTGAATGTCGTCAACCTAAGATAGGATTGCTATCTTATACATAATCCATATGTAATTAGGATATGTAGACTATGGTTGCTAGTGGAATGTATTTTAAGAAGTATATCAATAATATACGGAAACAAACTTACTATCATCTTGGATACACTTGGTAATTTTCTCTAACAGCTTCTTACGTAATGGTCCAGGTGTCTTTTCTAATCCAGCACGAAAAGTCCATTGTGCTAGTTTGAGGTTTGGGATCTTCTCAAGACCCTCTTCTTCAAGGCGTTCTAAAGGCATTGGAAAGCTTCGTAATGACAGTGCAAGGACCTTGACAAACGCGCTTGTTTCAAGGTTGGGCAATTCAATTTCCAATATCTTTTTCACAAGCTAGTGAGAACCAATTGGTTTCTCTCTACTTGATTCTTGGTGCTTCATTATGGTTTCAGCTAGTTTATAATATACAGAGGATGGTGGTCTAGCCTCTCGACTGCACTAAATCTAGTCCGTTGGCAGTTATTTATGAACTAATGACCCGTGATTTGAATGATTGCATTAGTCTCACGACAGTAGGGTTTCTGAATATCAGAACCAGGCCAGAGATCAGTTTGTTTCAATGTGAATAATGATGAAGATAAAATCCGAGTATTTACTGGAAGAATACGATTCCGGAACCAAGTAAAAAAACTTATAAATAAGTTAATTAACTGACAGTGAAGATTGTATGAGAGGAAGGAGGTGTATACACGAAATAGGAGAAAGGATTAATAAGCCAAAAGGAATATGTTAGCGATCTGTGGAATTTGTAATGATAACAAGAGGCACAGCTTCTTCAAGAGGAAGATGAGAATCCGTTTGAGAACATGCTTTTCAAGTCTCCTCCTGAGACTATCCACTGAGGGGATCGTGGTCAGTTCTGTCGAGAAAGTATTCCATGTAAAAACAACTGTCAACGAGGAAATGTGGGCTTATACGTCGGTTTTGTGTACTCTATTGCACTGGAAGTGTCTTGCCTTGCAAGCTAACTTTGTTATCTTCAATGTCGGGGCGTAGCCATTATTCAGGTAGGATGATTATTTTCAGATCCAATTGAGATCACATATTACTGAGCTCCTCCAGCTTAACTATCAGTCCTCTTATACTGTCAGAGAGGCACTTCCAATTTCGAATATCTTTTTCACGAGCTAGTATAAACCAATTGATTTCTTCGCGCTCGATTCTTGTTCCAGGTTCCAGGTGTTCGTTTGTATCCAATGGATGGAGTTCTAGCCACTCGACTGTCTAATTCTAGTTAGTAGCCAGTTGGTTGTGAGTTTGTATGTCTCGTGATTTGAATGCAAAGTTTGTTTCAAGGCAGTAATGTTTCTGGACACCAGCAGCTGTCACATTACCAGACCGGAGATCAGTTAGTTGTAATGTGGAGAATAATAAGGATAAAATTTTAATGCTAATTTAAATAAAATTTCAGAACTAAGTAATATACAGATAATTTAGTTTATTAATTGGTAGTGAACAGTCTTTCCTTGAGTCACGAGTCCACTACAAGTCTTTCCTCGTAAGGTTTATTTTTCAAACATATCACCCATTTCGTTGCTCGCCTGTGCACTCGATCCAAGAGGTTTATGTCCCTTTTAAGCAGAGCGGGTGCGATGACGTTGTGAACCTCCAGGTGTGGTCGTGCATACGTCTTAAACAGTGTTAAGAATAATCCTGGGGAGATAGCACCAGGCTAGTTATTTTCATAATTAATTGTAGTTTTGCCATAACCAATCAGATTGTGGTTTAAGCGCCCACCACGTGATCCGGTCTGACGTGTCTGTAAACCTACTAATTGAAGGATATTATCTTATTATATTGATGTGACTCATAGTTTTATTCATTTCCAAAGACACGCTATATTGGTCGGTATGTTTACTTTCCCATAGACTCTGTGCTTTGTATTGAATCAAGTAGTTTAACTTAGATCGAGGTCCGACGCTTTCATCAAAACAATCCTCGAAATTTCGTATGAAACTCCAGTAGTTCATAGGATTACCATCGAACCTTATGATTTATCGCTTGAGTAGGTCTAAAGCTTTAGATATCATTCCTACCCAGCACTTTCATGCGCTATCAGCTGTGCGCAAAACGGATGCAGATTCGAACGACATAAACTTTTCATCCTGAATTTTGTTACAATATTCCTTTCCTCTTTGCCGTAGCCGTTCTAAGTCAATTTCCTTTTCTATATGAGCTAAACGTACTTTAGCTAATTCTAATTCTAACAAAGGATCCATTCGGAAGCTATTTCTTCCAGTCTGGTCTTCGCTATGAGTTTCTGAATAGTGTGGAGACAATTCAGGAATCTTATCAGTTTTATGATCCTCCGTAGACATTTGGAGATATTCGGTATATGAACTTCTAATGAGATAATTGTTGAAACTATGTAGGATTTAATTTGTCCTACAGATGTAATTCTAAAATGTAAACGCAAATACCGCCGCTGACAGAATACAGAGTGAAACTATAGCTAACAGAAGACAATTTGGTTTTAAACTTTATCTGTTTCTAAACAAAAAAGAACGATCAAATTAGTACAATAAATAAGGAAATCACAATTATCAAGTAAGATGAACAAACGTACCAACCAGTATAGCGTGTCTTTAGAAAATGATTAAAAACCTGAGTCACAGCAATATAAATAAAATAATAACATCCTTCAATCGATAAGTCATTCACAACAAAGAAAGTTTATAGACCGGTCAGACTAGATAACGTGGTGAGCGCTTAACGAATCTGATTGGTTAGTTATGACAACTACAATTAGTTATAAAATAAATAACATTAAATCCTAGATAAAGTGAAGAATCGCATTTGCCTTGGCTTCGTCCCTTACATAATTCGGGTTCATGTGGAAGCTTTCTGTGGTTATTAAACCGAAATCGTACTCCGACATTAGGGAGCGGACTTCCATTGAGGCTGTAGACAGTTTGCGTCGTGTGGGGCAGAATATGCATGAAGTGGCACTTCAGTTGGTTGACTTTTAAACCGTTATTCACTTCCCATTCCTAAATAGATGTAAGGTCCTTTTGAAGCTCAGCCGAACCCTCTTGGCTTCTAATGGACCTCCAGACCTTCACATAGTCTGAGCTAACTGAGCCTAACAGGTCAAGAAGTTCTGTGAAACGATATGCCTTAATCATCAACATATTTGAGTGGAAAGGTTTGATATGCTAAGGAAGTGCATCTATTGTCCTGACAGTCCAAGCATAGTTAGCTAAAATTTTGTCATTAAGGATACTGATTTTCATTCACTGTTTACCCTATTTTGATCCGTTTCCCACTATATAACGTACTAAACTCTTCACCATTAAGGAAGTCATTCAAAATGGAAAGCCATTTGAAAAGGGGCTTGCAATAATTATTTGAAAGTATCCCATTAATTCAAGTTCAAAATCGAGGCAACTATGAATTATGAAAGGAGTTACGAAGCTGTTTGGTGTTTCTTGAGCACTGACGGTGTTTAAGTAATAAACAGGATAACATGAAGAATTCAATGAATGATGTACCAACTATACAATTCCATTATTAAGAAATTAGGAACAGGTGCAACTATGAACAAAATGATAATGACTAGGTTATTGTAGCATATTTACGATACATAAAAATGACATCGTATCATAATGGATATTTTTAATAGGTTTTCTCCGTAAAATCACATTCTCTGAATTTCAGACTGTTTTCTAGTCTCGTTCACAAGAAATCAAGTGAGATTCCATGCCGGAACTTGTTCCGAAAACGCTTATGAATTCCCTTAACCATGTAAATGTCCAAACATTTTAAATTTTGTACAAAGTATTCGCTCACTCTAAAATGAAGTATTGCATGCAGGTACCCAGTCCCTGCCTAAGAAAGAGGCAGTGAGCAGTTGAACAAAGTTGAAAGAGTCGTAACTAAGACGATTTCCAGAATCGCAAAAATTGCTATATGACGAGAGGGCGGACAAACCAAAACTATTACCTTTGTGGAAAGTGGAAAGACCACAGGCAACTTGAACACAGTTTTAAACTTATGGTGAACTTGCATTTGACATTACCTTATCTTTCTTGTCTTTCGAAAATAAACAAGTTAGGATGACAATAAGAAAATTTAAAAACCCAGAACAGTTTACATATCAGCTGACTGTCAACTTTCCTAACGAATGGCCAAGAGATGGAACTCCTAACATCAACACATGATTTTAGCTCCATCTGACAATTTATTCAACAGGAACGCAGATCACCTAACCTTCTGTGTTTTCTAGGACGGAACTGATATACGAAGTCAGATAATTATTTCCCTTTTTTGTTTAAATAAGTTTTCAGACGTCAATAGACTACGTAATCATTGAAAAACTACTCATTCCGGCAAGATAACACAAACTCAAGCACTTAAAACACGTATTATCCACCTTGAAAGAAGGTATCCAAGATCGTACAAACAAAAAGGAGAAACATCTTTAAAATATTTCTTATTACAATGAATTATTAGGAGGAAATTCTTCCTCTAGATTGCATTCCATCTATTCATAGTCATTTTCTCGAACAAATACCTTGAATTTTATATTGTTAGAACTGTGTGTTCTATCACTATGATCAGTTTTTTTGATGTTTCGAGCTTATTTTCAATTTTTAATTCATGTAATCGATCTATCTTATAAACAATTTCCAGTCCTGCTGAATGATAAATGGATGAAAACAATGAAGCAGTTGCTGGAAGATGTAGATTGTAATCGTTTGTTTAGGGTGAACGGATATTATAGATCATACAACATTTTCGGCAACCACGTATATGAATTTCCTCAGAGAGGATACATTTTTCTGAAACTATTCGCGGTTATACATTTCTTCATTTTGTAAATAGTTATATTTTCCTGCAATAAACATGCAGTGATCATGCCCCAATCCTCTAATGAATAAACTGAAATAGGAGAACACTTTTCTGGTCTTTAGAATCTCTAATTTCTAAAGACAGCCTTACTTAGAACAAACAAGGTGTCCAATAGCCATCAAAACAATAATGGATGAAGTCGACAGTCTATCTATTCTAAACGAAGGGTAAAATGAATTTTGAAAGTTTGTTGAAAATTTACAACCAGATTATGTGTTTGGAATTACCGACAAAGTAAATTATCTGACAGAATGAAAACGCCTTTTTTTTAAATTTGAAAAACATCTAAATGAGCCACCATTCAACCATTATTGATTTGAACAGTTCAGTCTTTTTAGCAGTCTTCTTAACATGACATTGTTCTTCTCATCCTTCAGTGCTACCATCGAAACTTTCAATGATCATTGTAAAACAATACGATACTTATGTACTGATTGAAATTATATGGAATAGGGATAAGGCAACTCATCCATAAGTAAATGTCTAATTATATTCCAACTTGATGGTGAGAATTTTCAGCTGTGCTATCGTGTAGGCTATTGTAAAATAATATGTGCTATCAAATTATTATAATAAATTAACTAGTTAATTTGATTTCACTGAAAATTTACGCTTTAAACTGTATTCATATACTGTTTAAACTCTGAGTCAATGAAGTTATTTGGAAATATTTCAGTTATTTTGGTCGTTTGATTTGGCAATTACATATACTATTCAGAGAATGTACTATCATATATACTTATAGGAAATGATCACAGAAAAATGCAACGTTGGTTGATTGGAATCAACATTTTACCGGCATTGATATGGTTGACAGCAGAGGTTGTTTAATCAAAGGCAGTTCTGTTGGTTCCTGTTGTATAATTACACACTGGTCAGGCTAGTTCATATTACATGATTAAGTCTCGCAATTATATGACCAGAAGTAAACTGGACGGCCATTTCATCCAACAATGGGGCTCGTTAGAATTGCGTATCCACGACTCCTGCACCTCGCGGGATCCGAACCCAGGACAGTCGATCTGACGCACCAGCGACTAACCTCTGCACTACTGAGCCATCCAGACTGTACTACACTACAGCATGAAATAAATATCACAGTAAATTTATTTCAACGTATATCTCATTATCGAAGCTATTATTAATAACTGAATTTCAAAAGTGAAATTCAATGCGATTATATAGCGAAGATTATCTTAAGAATACAAAAGTTATTCAAAGTCGATTGTAAGTTGAAACCAAAGAATAATCAAATTTTCAAAGTTTCTCTAAACACTTAAAGTTTAAAGCAAGACAGTACAGGTAATGTTTAGTAACTTAGACTTAATGACCTTATTTTTTGTTGATCGATAAAATGTTATCACCATTAGAGCTTTCGGAGACGTGGTACTGTGGTGCGCGCTACTTATAAGTAGTATATGACGTGAGTGTAAACGTAATGTCTGGTAGCAGAAGATGGGAGAAGATCAAGAAAGGAAGAGTTGGAACACACAATGGAATTTGTATGAAACGCATGAATAGTGAAATGTCAGACAATGGATTGATGATGGATTAAAGATTTGCAAATTAACCGTTTACGATATGGTTTTCCTATTTTACTGAGTAACTCTACAGTTTTCGTTAAATACAACTCGGTTGCCCTCACCTGTGTTCTCCTTCACTGCAGTACCAGTTATTACTACTCAATCATTGTCATTAAAGTTTACATAACGATTTAAATACTTTCCAAAAACAAATTTACCCAACAATACAATGAAACAAATCAATCAAATCTAAGTCAGAATACTTGAGAACACAAATAGAACGCAAATTAGAAGACATAATAATTATTGAATTGAACAACTGATTCGATTGTTTTTTTCTTGAAAATTGAACAATTAATGAAAGATTGTTGTTTAAATGGTATTTTTCTGGGAAAACAACATAAAGTTTTCACAAGAAATAAAATAAACAAACAGATAAACACATAAATTAAGAAATATTCATGTTTTTTTTTTTTTGTTTTGTAAATGACAGTTTTCTTTTTGCCAGTTGTCACAAATTTCTATTTTTTTTTAATCAATGGTTAGTAATCATGATCAATGGTTAAATGTGTGTATGTATGAATCAATCAGTAAAATCATTTCAATATGGAGCACAATAAAGTTTGTAAATAAATAGTGAATGCAATTTTAAAATTTTAACCCCAAGGTAAATCAATATAAGCTGCACGTTTAGCTAGAGCACGTTTACCCCATGGTAAATCCATGTATGCAGCTCGTTTTGGTAAATACATTGAATTGAAATAAGGTTCATTTGATATTTGTGCAACTAGTTCATCCGGTAGCGCATAAACTCTTTCCATTCCATTTTGATGTGATATAGATGATGGTGATAAACGATAGAGAATATTTGCATCATTGTTATTGGTTGTTGGCAAACTATTCACCATGAATGCTATTCGTGGTAATGACAAGTAGAGAGTTGTTAAAATGATAAATGATAATTTTTGGAATGTAAACATAATGATTAGTTGGTTGGTAGTTTGAGAAGAATCTAAAAAAAAAATTACATGAAAAAGTTATTAAAACGGAGTGATCATTAATTGGAAAAGTATTAAATTTAAGAATAATTCTACATGATTAGGGACTGTGTACACTTCAATTTATTCATTACATAGTAAGCAGTATGATATGCTCGTCAATCGATATGCTTAAATGCTATTACGAGTTCACCTTACTCGGTAAACGGAACCAACATCAACGATACAGTGATACGATAGGCTATTCTACACCAATCGTCCCAGACCCCACTAACTAGAGCAAGAAGTCTTGATAAGGGAGTAGAGAAATGCATTCCACAGACACCCAGAAAGTACGAAGTCAACAAGCACACAACTCAAGCTTATTTATACAATGATAAAACGCCCTTGGTGAACGCCACAAAAAAGCGTACTAAAATAATCCATGAGCCAATGATAGTCAAGGATTTCCTGTGTGGGAAATGTAGGCGGAAGGTCAAAATAAGCGACTACGGCGCGAAAACATGAAAATTCAAAATTTTAGAAATAAATTACAAAATTAGGACCTTTTCCAAGTAAGTTCTGGGGATCTAACATCTCAAACACATCGATAATCATAATTTCATGATTATACATATATAAGGTAAATGAAAATACTCATTAATTATGAAATATCTGACGGAAATAATACGATTATGAATAATTTTCTTGTTTTACAAATGATGAAGAAAAATGCCGCAATACACTTCTACACTTTATTTTAGAAAATTGTCATTTTGAATAAACGATTGTCTAATCGTTATTAATAAGGATTTTGGTTATTCGGTTGTTAATATTTGAGAGGGGATTTTGATCTGTCACTGCTGAACAAGCTTACTTGCTATCTAAACTCAGTAGTTTGGTATAAAATGCACTGGTGCTTGAATCGAACTGTGCCGAGTTCGAGTCTCGTTGTCAGTATGAATGTTAAGATACATATCCAGTCAGCTAATAATCCTGAGATAGGACGAAAGGTGTGTGTTCTAGATTCTGTACTATACTTTTACATTAGTTTGATGACGAGTATTCAGAAAAATGGTAGAGAAAACATAATAGACTTCTACTGCGGGGTTGTTGTGAAGATTGTTAAGTTTTATTTGTAACCATGAATCGATCAATGTTAGATCACCATTAGAAACCTGAAAGCACTGGACGGCAGTTTCGTCATGGTATGGGACTCATCAGCAGTGCGCATCCACGACTCCTGCTCCTCGCAGGATTAGACCCAGGACCTTCGGTATTGTGAGCGAACGCTCTAACCATTAGACCACTGAGCCGGTAGCTAACGGTGTTAATGTCTAATTTGCTGATGAGTCCCATACCAGGACGAAACGGCCGTCCAGTGCTTCCAGGTTTCTAATGGTGGTCTAACATTGATCGATTCATTGTTACAAATAATAGAGTTCTGTCTGTATTTTTTCAAAGAAAAAATAATTTCCCTTGTTAACTTTTCAAAAACTTTTCTCCGTTTCAATGGATTTAAAAAGAAAGTAGAAACATACACAACAAATGAATGTGATTTTTTCTTTCACTTAATTTGTTTTGAATAAAAAAAAGTTAGTTTGAATTTATCTAAGCAGATATTTTTATTTTTCAGTAGACAAAACAAGAAAAATTAACTTTTATTTAGTATAAAGCGACAAATGAAAATTGTTTACAGGAAGGCCAATAATAGCATTCTCCTTCATTTTGTTTTCTATGTAAAAATGTATAATTCAGCTAAGTAAAACAAAAAGTTAGCTAAATAGTATAGTGTGTAAGTGAACGTACTCTTGAAAAGTGTAATTTTGAACAAGAATTCAATTCTATAACATAAACAACATTCAAGTTCATGAGCACTTATTTAATGCACGCATAGAGAACACTACTGATTCACGTCTACGATTTCTGCACCTCGCACGATTCGGACCTTGGTCATTTGGTCTTGCGCACGAATGTCTAACCTTTGGACCGATGAGCCAGTATCTAACAGTATTAATCCCTAATTTCGATCAATTGACGGTCTTGCTCAACCTCATAAGCTATCTTCTCACTAGAACTCGGAAAAGATTCCTCACAGAGCTAGTTACTAGTGAGTACAGGTAATTGCATTATGGCGTAGTGGAGATTGTTAAGTTACTAATCGAAATCATGAACGGATTGATGTTATTCCACCATTAAAAACCTGAGACAACTGGAAGGCCGTTTCGTCCAGGTATGGGACTCATCAGCAGTACCGGAGTATCAGGAGTCATGGCTGCACACTGCTGATGAGTCCCATAGCAGGAAGAAACGGCTGTCCAGCGCTTTCAGGTGGTCTAGCAGTGACTGAACTATGATTTCAATACATAACTGTGTTTTCTGTTTATCTCATATATATATATATATATATATATATATATATATATATATATATATATATATATATATATATATATGAGTGGCGCTGGTATGTGTGCGCGCGCGTTTATTCTACATTCATATTGAACAAAATCGATTATTTTGTCTGGATAAAGAATTCAGAATAGAAAAAAAATATGTGAAAAAATAAACAAGAGATTTAATCAACCCTTTTTCTTTCTCTCGATTATTTCCTTTTTTTCAAATTTAGTCGGTACTTGTATTTTTAGTTTGGTTTGTTTTAAATATTCATTCGATGAAGTTTAATTTTTTGACACTATCTACTAACTACTGTAGAAAATTTAAAATCATTGAAAAATTCCCATTGTACATGTGATTTTTTTTTCAGCCCTTAATGATTATTTTTATTTCATTGTTAGATGATAAAAATAAATAAGTTGAGATACAATAAATTGTTTAACTGTATGGTAGTAACCTTATTGACTGATTAAAAAATTGAGCATACACACCAATGAATTGCAGGCAAGTCTTTATAAGGAGGATAGTCGAATTTTGTGGCTTATATATCTCATGGATTGATATTAGTTAGACAACCATTGAAAATTAGTAATCGTTGTACAAATAGTATGTTTTACAATAAAACTACCTATCATGTATGCATATATGATCCAATAAAGAATCTAACTCAGAGACTTCGAAATTTACCAGTACTGAACGCCCAAGCGTTTAATTGGTAAGAAAAGAATTTTAACCAGTGATAACTACTCGTTTTTGTCCTCTTGGACAGCATTTCAGATTCATTTTGTTGATAGTTGTTTCCCGTTAACTACCTTGTAGAGCTATGTTTTACGGTGTATGAGTAGGTTGGAAGAAAGCTAGGGGCGGCCGAAGCAAAAAATGGCACAAATCCATGTGGTCATCGAAGCAATGTGCACTTAATTTTAAGTTTTCCTACAGTCTACTCATAAGTAGTATAGGAGAATAAATTTAAGAATAAACTTTTTTCAGAAACTGGAACCAGTTAAACAGTTATTTGTAATCAGGGCATACTGGATGATTATTTATTTTTTCTTACTTTCTACCTAATGTTTACTCACAATCTCATATGGGGTCAAACCTATGATCACATTATTGTCTTTGAAATGGTGCAGAAGATTCGCAGATCAGGTGGCTGATGAATGTAATGGAGTTTTGTGGTTGTGCAGCTTTCATTGTTCTACTCAACAACTTATATCTGAAGTTTGTTCTGATGATAATACTCAGAAGAACAATGAAAACTCCACAACTAAAATATCCAGCTCAGAGAAGGGAACTTATTGTCTATTCTGTAATGAAGATACCACTGGAATGCTGAATTGAAATTTGCTAGTTGATTTTTCGAATCACAGTCCATCAATTCTAATCTTTTAATGTTTTAAAAAGAGTGTACTAAAACTTTGGCGATGAATCATTCTAAACAAATCATTCATTTGATAAAGTATAGATCCAATTAATATTATTTCATGAACATGAAGATTTTACCAAAGTAAATAGATCATTATAACTGATGATTAATTATAGATAATAATTCAATGATCAATTTTGAACAATCTTTTCATTTTATCACAAAGTTATATCAATAGTAAATGATAAATGTTTATTCAGATTTAAAAGAAACATGTGGAATATTCTACTAATTGATTTTTTAAATTAAAACAACATGTATCTAGTTGAAAATGAGCGGTAATTGGTATCTATTATATTTGTCTGCGAGATGAAAGTCACCAATGGTTAGAGACTATGATGAACGACATGGCTCAAAATCGTTTGCAATGGTGCAAGTGCATCTACTCTTTGTGGTTTCTCAAAAATCTAACCATTGGAATTCCTCATCATTTTTGTCTTACTCTTTCTAACTTTATCTCACTGATTTATACTTCTTGAATAATATCTTCGAACCCTAATCTCTCCGATTACTGCTAATACTTCTACTATCGCTACCACTATTGGATTTGAACTGACAGTTGCGTCTCTGTGCTAATGAGGTACTTATATAGACAGAGAAAAAACATCCTGTTTATAAGCACTGGTCTGCCCTAATATCCTATAAGTTTCATGTGATCATTCCAACTAATTTAAAAATAACTATCATCTGTTATTTTACAAGTTGATTGACAAATACAATCACAGTGGCTTGATATCAATCTTAATATTGATTTTTTCTAAAAGAAAATTCACAGCCATCAGTAATTTCAATTGTCTATATGAACTCCTAATCTATTGAATTAAATTGGAGCTTGGAAAAGTGGAACAATACAAGGAAAATGAACAGCAAAAATGTTTTCAATTTGGTCGTCTTCAGCAGGCTTTTACTTTCTAATATCCATTGAACATGTTATATCAATTCACGCAATCGAATAGATTATGTCACTATACATGATTTGTACAAGTACAAGTTGATAGTAGGAAGACAGGTGTACTGATAGTAGTTAGAATAATCGTATATAATTATAAGTATCATAAATAATTTTATTTATGAACCATTTAGTTTGAAAATTGTAAATATAATTTTCAATGTTAACAATATTATTATCATAAAAATTCATAGAAAACGTACGAATTCTGAATAAGTACGAAACATCGGTTCTATGTATTTCAAAGCTCATTGATAATAGAG